TTGCTAGAAGCTGGACGTTTCTGGGTTAGAATCCACCGGCTGGGGCCAAGAGCTGATACCACTCCCTTTGTATGACTATAATCAGTTGTGTAATGTATTAAAAAATGTTAGGTGTCCTTTACCCATTAAGTTTTAGTGCGTCATAGTTGTTAAATTTAGGTACTCTTCACTCAAGACAAGAGATGAAATCTACTCAAAGAAATCGAGTGCAAATTTTTACCTCACATTTATTGAGTAGATTGTACAGATTTGTTTTAGGGCCAGATCACGCTGAAAGCGTTTTAGCAGCTGGAGGTGGCTTTCTGTAATTGTTTTTAATGGGAATTAAGCATTTTGCTTGCGCTGTTTACGTTGCGACGTGCCTCATGTGTCTGCGCTCTATGGGTCTGGTTTTTTTTTTGTTTTTTTTTTTTGCTGGAGTACTCTGAACTCCTTGAGGAGAAAAAAACGGAAAACTGCCCTACAGCATCTCTTTTTTCATCATCTTCTTCTCATTGTCCAATCAGATGATTTGAGAGGCGGGCCTTCTGTGGTGGCCACGACAACAAGCTTAGAGTTGGTAAAAAATAAAGAGGAGCAACTGGTGGTAGCGGTCGCTGGATACCCACAGCTATACGGCCCCATGATAGACAGCAGGTTGTCAAACTGTCCCAGAGTCATCCTAAAATATGCCTGGAAACGGCCATCATGACCATACCATTGTGTAACAGAATATTTGTGTCTAACACACAGAAAAATTGACCCTAGAAAACATTGGTTGTTCATGTAAGGTGCAGGTTTGGAAGCTTTTACTTTGTAGATTGTTTAGCCATGGCATCCCTATGTTTCTCTTTATGGTTAAGATTGTCTTTTCCTTTCTGTTTTACTCCCAACAAGACAAAATAATATTTGGAAGAGGGATAGAGAGCTTGTATAACAGTATAATCTTAACTCAAAGGTTCACCTATATCCTTATTCATTCAATCACTTCTTGTGGTCGTGCTCAGTAAAGTGATGGCTCAGGTGGCCTGTCATTGAGGCGTGCGAGCAGAGATCTTCTGGAGCTCCTGGTAAGTGCTGATTCCTTGTGCCTTGAAGGTAACATGTTCTGACAGCCACTCAGGGGAGTCCCACTGGGATGTTTCTGGGGGTCCCTGTTGTTGACATAGCAGTGTCCTTCTCCTTTCCAGCTTCCTGTCCTTTTAAGTTTTCATAATTCCCGCTTTATATGTATTGACACCTTGGATCTGCTGCACCTCCTTGTCTTTATCCTCCACCTTCCTAATTAGATATTCTGCTCTGTGTAAGTGAAAACTGCATTTAGAAATAGGGATGAATCGATCAGCACTGTTCCTTCCTGATATTTATTCCAATACCCAGAGTCAGGGTGTCTGCTGATACCAAGAACCGGTCTGGGACCAATTATTTTTTCCCCTAATGTCCGATCTGGAAACCTCCCAGTGTGAAGCTGATTAAGACCATACTTCTGTGTGTAAACTAATGCAAGGCTGTAACTGCACATCGGTTCTTTAGTGTTTGTAAAGACATTCATACACCAACATCCATTTTAGGCCCATGCAACTGTCAAACCAATCGCCAGAATAAATGTTGGCACTGAACGAGACTTTGCAGCTAACTTAACAGCTAAACAGTACACTAAAATATGTTTCTGACAACATTTGAGGTGAGACATAGGCAATGCAGTAGCAGGATATTGATTCATATTTAATCAGCTCTGCCTAGTTTGACAGTTTAACCACAGTTCAAGAGCAGCATTAGAGACTCCTCGGCTCTGATTGGTTGTTTTCCTTCAGCCATGGTACATTCTAGCAAATGCAGATGTTCTGTTATATCACTCTACATGCACACAAGCATCCTGGCTTTTTTCCCCCACACTCCATCATACTTAAAGACTTTCGAGGGTGGTTGTAGAGAGCAGGATGTGATGAACAGTCTCTTATTTAACAGTGTAGGTTAACAGCGGATGGCCAGTCAAAGAGCACTTAACAGCTCCCTGGTAGTCTTTAGTCATACACACAGAAAAAAAGAGTCCAATCACTGAACTCCTACTTCAGCCGTCCGTCGGCTCCGTCAGCCTGTCGGAGCGGCGGCTCCACACATTAGCTCTTCACATGAAGAACTCATGAATAGATTTACATCTCTGGGATCATTAACTGGATGATTCTCTCCACTGCTTTTCACACCCAAATGTCTTTAATACACCACAATCAGCTCTAAAACATCGCCTTCATCATCATCATCATCTTCCTTAATATCAACATAATCATCATCACAATATCATCATCATCATTACAGCAAAGTCCTCGTCATCGCTGTCTGCATCCTCTATACTGTGTCATCATTCTTCTCCTGATCATCATCGTCACCATCATCATCCAGCCCCAGGTGCCAGTCATCAGGAGGTGAAGGGGTTGGTGGATGGTGCGACATATAGGCAAGATGGCTGCCAAGCTGCAGACCGCTGCAGACCACTGTTCGAGACCAACAAACAAGAAAACCATCAGTGTTTTGATGAGTCATTGCAGTGTTTCCAGCTACTTTTTAAACACCGAATGAGGGTGTTTTGAAGCAACAGGTTGCTGTGTTTACAGCTGTGTCTTTCGGCAAAGAAAGCAATTGTTTTTTTTACCGAGACATCACTGCGATTTCTGCTGGGATTGTGCCATCAAATGTGGGTATTCTGAGCCAAATTATGATATTTTCCTTACTGTGACCAAGGGATTTTTGTGCCTAAACAGAACCAAAACCACATTACCAACAGTACCAACCACCAACAGTATTCTAATGAGAATATTTCATTTTTGAAATATATTGATTTACTGTAATAACCCTGATCCTGCCTCAAAAGTATTAAATGACTGCACCACCGTGCCACCCTAAAAAAACATTTTTGGTCTAAAATAAATAAATACATTTAAAAAACCTGCTGGGAGCTGCTATTTGATTGTCTAAATTAGCCTATTAATGGGCAGCTGTGGGCTAGTTATAGGGATGTCCCAATCCGGTATTGGCACCGATCACATTATTTTTATAAAATCGGAATCGGTAATAAAAGATTGGAGGAATTAAATGGCCAGGTTTTTCATCTATGTTGTTCATTGTTGCCTCTGCTTTCCAATGTATTGTAACCGAGCATCCTGGGTTCGCCTAACTGAGTGCAGCTAATGAGCAATAAACGGACAGGAGTCGAGACAACAGGTTCAGCGGCCACCGCTTCTCTCTTTATTCCGAGCAACACAGCCACACCTAACGGCAGAACCTCGCCTACCACAGTCCTACGGCACCTCTGGGGGGACAATTTGTTTACAATTCAGAATTTGTTGACATTTTGTGCTGCTGAACCACCGATAAGCTTTTTGGATACTATTTAAATGAAAAACAAACCTTATGCGACAACTTGGACGCATTCTTTTTTTTTCTTTCTTAATGCTTTGCAAAGTATTGAATCGGACTCGGTATCGGATCGGATGCAAAAAAAAAATGTGATTGGGACATCCCTAGCTATTTATGATTATTTGGTACTTAAACTAGTGAACAAATCTGTCTGTGCACTGATAAATCATCCATTTTACTCTGAGACTAGCTGGACAAGCTTTTCCTTTATTGGATACCGAATCCAAAAAAGGAAAAGCTTGTCCAGCTAGTGAGACTCAAGACTAGACTATACAATGCACATTTCAGCTGACAAAATGTTTAAACTTTTTTTCATTTGGAGTATAGACAACATGTTTTTACAGCTGAAGAATGTAAGAATCAATGCTAAAAAATAGCTGTTGTTCATTTCCATGTAACCTTTTGTCCAAGCCACACTGCAGAGGGGCCAATAAAGAGCTGCATGGCTCCTGAGCTGCAGGTTGTCAAAGGCTGGTTAAGTTAAAGGGAAAATGACACGGACTGTTAAAGCAGGAACCCTGGCCACAAGACACATTTTGTTCATTTCATTTTGTACTTATGGCCCTCCATAGAAACCTAAATTTAAAAAGACATTAGGAATAAATAAACTAACTGAAGGTATCAGAGTGGAGACACTTGTTTCTATTATTGTCTTTGTGGTTTCAGAAAACAGCACAGCTCCTGAATCCCTCTCCAGCAGGTTGTCTGGGCGGATCGCCTCCACCCGCGAACTACAATTGGACCTCTGATAACAGATCTTTTAATATTACTCTCCTCTTCAATATCGGAGGATTGTGAGGGTGCCAGGCAGGGATATTGAGTGAGAGCTAAGAGTTTCTCCCTTTCGGCTTGGCCTGCCGTCAAAACTTATTAGACAGATAAATGAGAGCTGGACTTGCGTCGCAGCTGGCCTCTTTCTGTGCCCGTGTGTCATTTATTCGTCCCCTGAATACCGGCTCAATCAGATAGCGGCCAGCCTTTCACAGCAGTCACCATCTCTCTGCATCTGTTGACCCGCACTAACACAATTAATGTGGGCAGCTTCGGTGGCACTGAAACAGCCGTTTCCCTTTCGCTTTGAAACTGCTTTTGTTCAGTTTGTTCCTTCTTTTCCCCCCTCAGATAAAGCTCTGATCTAAAGGTCAGGCTGTGTATATGTGGCTCTGCTGCTTCTCTATTTGGTGTTTTGTTCCCTGATGTATCAAAGTTAAGATGCCTAGTAAACCCCTTAAACACAAAGATCTCTCTTTGTGCCTCAGGTGACTTTCATCGTACTGTTCCAGCTTGTATGACGAGTGATAAGAGGCTTAATTTGCTTTTTTTATCCTACGTGGATGGATGATGTTGCCTGAAAGACTCCCAGAATAATAAGTATCTCTTTCCTCAGTGGACCCGTGTCTGCTTACATGTGTGTGTGTTGTGTTCTGACTTGCACAACTCAAAATGAAGTCCTTAAAAAAAAGACATCCTTGACCAGTTTCCTGTAACCATGGTGATAGGAAGTGCTCTCCAATCACATCTTTGTATCGTGTATTAGGGAAGTACACTGTTTCCTGCTGTTTCCACTGGCTTCCTCACACTGGAGTGTGCTTTGGATTTTAGTCCTGGAAAGCCACACAGTTCTTGACCAGTGCTCTGCTTGCGTTCAGTTTTTCTGTTTTGTTTTTTTTTCTAACGAATGTTGGAACGCCATCAAATTTAAATGAAGTAAGTTGCAATTTTTTGGTAACATTTATAAACAAACTTTCAAGACATGTTTTCTTTGAGTAGCAAAGTTTTTCTTTCTTTAATTTGTCCACTTAATCTTCTCTTATCGCATGTTAATATCTTTTTGGTTTATTGATTTCACTTGAATAAAATACTTGTTTAAAGATATTGTCTAAAAACTACATTTAAATATACTGAGATTACTAATTATTTACTGCATGGTTGTTCATAAAATCAAAGTAATCTAAAGGTATCCTGGGGAGTATTTGACCACTTATAGTGTTATGGAGTGCATTATGCTGATGGTTTCATGCTATTCTTTTGAGCTGCTGCTGGTGGTGCACCAGGACACCTTTATGTGTGAGCAAAGGTGGGGAAAAAGGAGACTTCAAGCCAGCAAACATGGACGTAAACAACACAGTTTGTTTAAAGTAGCTATAATGGATATTGTGATGTGAAAACAATGTATTTATGTGAGGGGGGGTTACCCGTATATGGCTGCAACTTTACTGCTTAAGTTAACTCTCGCCACTCTCACAGGGTCATTTTTGGCTCCAGCTGTCTTCAGGGAAAAAGCTACTGTATAGAGATCAACTTAACACTCCCTGCTCAGCAGCAAACAACAGACAAACACAGTCAGAGACTAGCTAGTGAACATAGTGGATCATTTATAAGCTAAGGAGACATATTTCCCTCAGGAGGTGGTGGAGACCATAAACAGAGCTAAAAGAGAGTGGATAATGGACTTGCGTTCATCAGGTGGACACAAACAGGACACCAAATGAATGATAGCATTTCTCCGTAACCAATATGATACGATACGATATACTTTATTGTCTGCTTGCACAGAAATTTGTCTTACGGCACAGCAGGCCCCGATTGCTAAAACAAGAGAAAAAGAAACATACAGAAAATAACACCACAAAAACATTACAAATATACACAAACAAACATGACACCAAAAGATGTTCCATTAATGCTCTTCTGTCCTTAGGTGTGAATCTTGATTTAACTTTAGAATTGACTGGTGGACAAAAGACCTTTGAAGTCTAATGGACATGTAAATAAGAAACTGTTTGCTAACAAACTCACCATATTTTTTAAAAGGTGATGACATGACATTCAAATGTCTTATCAGAAAGGAGATGCACTCAACACACGTGATAGGCCTCAAGGATACACACACTTCATTTTAATAAGAAAAACTGAATGTAAATATATGTTGTAACACAGGCATTTCACAAGGTCCACAGTGCCGCTTTTAGGTTTTGGGATTTAAGATTTTAAAATCTGTAATATTAACAATATAGGCCTGAGTGTCTATATAGTGTTTTTTTGTTTTTTTTTCTTGCAGAAAAGCGCTAGCTCTCTGAAAAGTTGACATTTTTCACTAGAAGTGCTCAAAGCAGCCATGCAAAAAAAACTCAAAGCGCTCTGAAAAAAGATGCTGGAGTGTGGCACTTATTCTCTGGGTGGCCACATATGCTCACACCTTAATTGGACCAACTGAAAAAAAGATGCTGGTGCTTGGATAAAACATGCTATATAGACACTCAACTTAAGATGTGTTGACATCAAAGAGTAAAAGCAGTCATTTTACTGTCCTCTATGATTTAAAGTTTAAAGCCTGTTTCACCTTTGACCACAGCCATCACTGAGGGTGGGTGCTCTCTTTGCACCTGTAACCACAGTGATGTCACTGTGTACAAACACACCTTGGAGTGCACTTGCACGTGACCGCAGCAATGTGAGAAGTTAAACCATTGTTGTTAAATGGCTCTGTTCCTTTCTAAGTACTATTTTTGTTTACAGTGTTTGTATTCTAAAATAGCCATTTTTAACACAGAATCCTGTAATATACACAAAAGACACAGAGAATACAGGTGGAAAATGACACAAGGACCTTTTTTGTCTTTATTTTAATGTAGAGGAATTTTGACACATCCAGTGATTGAGATCTTTTTGTGTTACAGAGCATCTGACACTTAAAGCCATCCAAAGCCACCTCCTTGGAGACACCCAAATACACTTCTCAGTGTATTCAACATGTCGAAATAATTCAAATCAAAACAGCACTCCACCGTTTTCCCCATCGAGCACGGCAGCGATGCAAGCTGGTCATCAGGTAACCATCAGCACATCTCTCCAGATCCCTTCCCAGCCTGAGACTGCTGTACTCAGGAACAGACACCCAATCCTGCTGGACACCATCCATCCCGGGTTGGTCCAGGCCATCATCAATCCAAAGCGAGGTATGGAGGGAGCCCACCAGACTCCGCAACCCCCGGGGACCTGCAGCTCACCTGCTGGGAAATCATGCTGGAACTTGGATGTGAGGGTGGCCGTGCTTCTGGTGACTCTGGCTGGAGCTGTGATCCTGCTGCTGCTGTATAAACTGTTACAGCTGAGACATAGGTGTGTACATGTTGCTGAGTGATACGTAATGTAACAAACCAACTTGATCTACACCCCATGTGACACATTCTATAAATAAAGTAAAGAAAAAGTCAGTCATACAGGTCATGGTAATCCTTAGTGCCATATTGTAGGCAACTGGACTTGCTTGAATTGACATTTCACCTCTCATCCACCCAGCCATCGTGACACACGACGACCAGATGGGTCAGTGACTCATATGTGATCTTAACAACTTTGAAACTCAGAGCTCACATGTGACCTCAACAACCCTGTAAGGGCTCACACCCACACAGAGCTGAAAGCCTACGACTCGGCACCAGTCTGTTAGAACTGAAGAAGCCTCTTGGATGGGAGGTGAAACATCTTCAAGAAACTCAAGCAAGTCCAGTTGCTTGCGATGTGGTTTGTGCTGACTTGTGTCATACTGGTCTATGTCGTGTCCTGCAGGTTGAAGTTGGCCCGGGCGAGGCACGCTCTGGAGTACTACAGCTTCTACCACACTGCCACCTACACGCTCAAACACTCTGCGTCGTGTCAGAGCTTGCCAGTGAAGAACGGGTCGGTTCCTGAAGCTACACAGCCGGTCCAAACGGTAACCCCTAGGACTACCACCGTCTTCACCCCACTTCCGCCCCCACCTGTGTCTTCTCCACCCCCACTGCCACTCCCCCCACCTCCTGTCCTGCCTCCACCACTGCTCCACTCACTACCTCCTGTCCTGCCTCCACCACCGCCCCTCACTCCACCTTCTCTCACTCCAACACCTTCTGTCCTGGCCCTCCCTCTCCCCCTGCCTGTGATCCACACCACCCCGCCCAGCCCTCACCTGTCGTGGGGCGCCTGCTCGGACGTGGAAGTTTACTCTCGGATTGGAGCTTTTAGGCCCTCCAGGCACTCCAGCCTCTCCAACCAATCAAAAGTCATCCTTTTTGAGCACTCGTCTCTCTGAACTCTTATTGGAGATGTTGACGGAAGACTGTTGCCAAAAACAAGCACCTCTGCTTCGAGTACTGTACACTGTATGTCCTAGTATACAGTGTAAATGAGAGGTGCAGACAAGTATTTGAAGTTCAAATACTTTCAGTGCTCTCCAAAAGTTCAAAAACTGACGTTTGAGTTTTGTGGGGCACTGAATTGATTCACCTACTATCCGTAGCAGACTTTGTGCCAACCTCTGCGGGAAAATTGCATTTTGGAGCAAAACATCTCAACTATAATTATGTTTTGTTCCACTGGAGAGTGGTTTGTCTCTCTCTTCTTTTTTAACAGGTATTTTTTCAGCATTTCTGCTTCATTTGACAGTGACAGCTTGAGAGAGACAGGAAGAGCAGAGGAGACAAAGCGGATGACATGCAGCAAAGGGCCTGGACTGCAATTGAACCCTGGGCGCTGCTGTAAAGACTCAGTCTTGACACATGGTCTTGTGCATTATTATGCAAGCTATTGGGGCGCCAGTGGCTTTGTTTCCTAATTCAGACAGGTGGAAGGACAGTGGAGAGTTCTTTCTTTTTTTACCCCTGAAGACTTTTACAACCTCACGTCTGTTCTGAAACTTGTTTTGGACATAAATGAGAACATTTAACTTCAAGAAAGACTTGTGTGCTGATCATTCAGAGCCTCACATTCCCCAGGATCGTCTTCGGCGCTTTATTTTCTGAGTGTATATTGTAAATAGTAACTTTTGGTGTTGAAATCTTTGCATACACTGTAAACACGACAAAGCTGAGGTAGACTTATTAAGGCATAAGTCTGTAATGACCTATTTGATTGCAGACAATTTTAGTTTTGGCTTTCAGTTCATCCGGCTAAGAATTTTCATTTTGTTTACTTGTGTTACACCAACAGTAACAGTACCTTATACTCTTACATTGCTACAGTGGCAAACTTGCTGAGTCAATTTAATTTAACTTAACTTAAGCTAGACAGACTTTTAAATTCACCAACAAGCAACTGATTAGTTACTTTGACAGGAGTTTCTAATTAGGCAACATTTCCAGAGGCTTTTGTCGAAGACCGATTTATTAGTGCAAGAGCTAGTTGTCTTTAGGTGCGTCCGTACTAAATAAACAGCTAAATAATGCATTGTAGAGAGCTATGATGCAATTATTAATTAGATAAGTTAAGTTCTAGCATGGGGTGTTAAAGTGCAGGCTAAAAAAGTAGTTCTCAGCCAGCAATGACTTTGCTGCCCTGACTTCATTGGGGAGTTCTTTCCACCCCTGTGGGACTAAAACAAAGAACAGGGTTCGACCATGGAGCAGTTCCTTTCACGAGCTGTAGCGGTGTGGCTCACACTGTGGCATTGTCAAGGAAGGAGCTGCAGTAGTCCAGGCAGGAAATGACAAGCATCTGCAGGATCACTTGGACTGATTCCATTGGGAGGGTAATGTCAAGGCTGATCCCTCATGTGTTGCACCACCTAATACAGTGATCAAAATTTAGGATATCTGGATATTTTTCACTTTCTGGTGGAGATTTTAATGAGAAGAGATGAGATGAGAAGGCACTAAGTAGTCTCCAAGCAGTCAGCGAAGACTCCAGGAATTTGTACCGGACTATTTCTTGACAACACATTCTCACTACGACCTCGTCACATATCGGTGTTTGGTCATGGACTTTCCACATCCAGATATAACATGCAAGGTACCCTGGGTGCATTGGATTTTTACACCATGTCAAGTTCTGCCTGTTACATGCATTGTCATCTTTCAAAATACACTTCCGTTTTCACAGGAAATTTATCATTTACATACAGTCTCACACTACATTGGTACAACACCAGTACTGACATATGGTTGGGTTTAGGAAACAAAAGTATGTGATTGGGTTTAGGAGATGAACGCCTCTCTCCCGGTTAAAAGTTGGTGTTTGTTGCTGCCTTAACTTTCGTTGATGTCCCGCTTTGTTTCCCACTGACACCGTTATAGTGACCAGCTGTGTATCATGCAGACATTAAAAGACGGCTGTTTTCGTTGGTATCTGACGCCAGAAGTTAGTTCCCAAGCAACGACTTTGGAGTGAGACCTGGTTGTTTTTGACTGCAGTCAATAAATAGTCTGGTACATAACCCCAGGTAAAACTGTTGCTTTCATAAGGATTAAAACCACAGACTGTAAAAATAACGGACGTAGCCATGGTGAGGCTAAGTGTTTCCTCCTGTTTCCAGTCTTTGTGCTAAGCTAAGCTAAGCTAACTGCCTGTAGCCATATATTTAACGGACAGATAGGAGAGTGGTATCAATCTTCTAACATCTAATTCTCCATCAGGAAGTGAATATTTCTTTAAATGTCCAAATTTTGCTTTAAGTTACAAGACTGACTCACAAATAGAAGCGTTAATGACTCTTAATGTGAGGATGAGACAATTTAAATTAACCAGACTCAAAAGCGACAATCACATCTAATTATATTAAGGACATGATAAATGATGAGTTGATTAATTAACATGGTGTAAAAGTTTTCCTGCATTCCATAACTAAAAAAACACAAGTTCACAGAACTTTCTGATTTTCTAAGGCATCACAGATGAATGTTTTAACTGTGTGATTTTAGATCGCAAGACAAAAGTGTGGTTTATTGGCATAACAAAATGTTTTTATTCTTAATTGCTTAAACTTTATGATTCATATAATGTCTGTTTACAGTGTAGGTAGCAGAGCCCATTGTTTCCCTGAAAGGGAGGCATTTCCTGAGCTGGTTTTCCATGGCAGGGTCCCTCCCTGTTTTACACCATTCTCTGCATTCTCTGTGTTTCCTCTGACTTTCTCTCTCTGGAGAAATCCTGCTTTGCATTTCCTTCACTTGCAGTCTTAAATTACGACTCCGAAGATGTCCTGTTATTTAAACAAATGTCAAAATTTCACAGACAAATTTTAAATGGTTCATTCGTCTCTTTAGCGCAGTACAACTAAGATGTAGTTAGTACAGGTGCAACTTCTGAATATGTTCCTCAGTGTGCAGATGAAGGCGTTTACAGATGAGCTCAATTCATTATTCTGTAAAGCAGCGTTGTCGACACGCAGGTAACATCTGTCTGTTGTTGATATTGGGTAACCTGAGCATCCACCTTGGCCCTTAACAAGCTGTTAAGATGAGTTTTCTTTCAATATTTAACCACATTTTCCCAACAGGCCTCTCATTTATAATTCAACAATAGTTTGGAAATTCATGAGGGAAGCTGTTTTAGCTTGTTTGTTGCTTTCTTCTTGCCGGGGTGAAAACAGAGACCTTGTGTGACATGCCTCCTTAGTCTTTTCTGTATCCAAGTCTGCTCGTGAGGCCGCTGTCTCCATACTAAAAGCCCGTTAATTCAATCTGTGCATGTACTGCGGCATTGTCTCTTAATTGGTTGTAAGCTGAGCAGGAAAGACATTTGTAACAATATACTGCTGCGGCAATTAAATAAAACGAGGGACTGTCATGTGAGGATGAATACGAATGTGTTTGTGTTCTGGATCTGATTAATATTTATTGAGGGTTTTCATCTCAAAATGTTATTTGTTAATTTTAGAATGCTCACTGAGATGCTTTATACAGGGGTAAAAAAACATACATGAAGCAATTGTTGTGGTACATTCAAGTGTTATCTTTTCCATTGATTCTTTAATCCTTGAGTTATAAAGAGCAGGTAGGAGTTGCATCTTAATGCAATATATGCATGTATAGTAAAACTTAAAGCACCTTGTTGAACTGGTTTGTAACTCAGTCACAAACTCACCTATTCACATTTAGCAGGTTGAAAATACTCTACCAGAGCTGAGCCCCTCCCCACTGGACAAAAAACCCATTAACATCCACTAATATCTGGCTTTTATCTTTAGCGGGGAAGGTTACAATCAGCATTAATTCCTTGGACAAATGACTCTGCAGTAGTCAGCTCTGATTGGCTCAGTGGTGGAAACATGACACCTTTGTAGACATGCTATTTTTCGCCCTTTTTGTGGTGTAATGCAATGACACACAAGTTCAAAATTATTATGCACTGAGTTAGAAAAAAAAAAAAAAACACTACAAAACAAAAAGGAAGTACCCTAACATTTTCACGGGCCCTCATGCTACTTTATACTGTTTATTAACCATATTTTTCTGAAGTTCTGGCTCGTCTGTGATGTTCAGTTTTACACAACAGTAAAAATAAAACAGAACGGAACACTCATCTACTACAGATTGCTTAATGGGAAAGGAGTCTATCCATTATTTTTAGCAGGTTTTCCCATGTTTAAAAAATCTGCATGTATGTGATAATCTTGGTGAAAAAAGGATAAATGAAAGGTCACTAACAGCAGTGGCAGCTTAGACCAGTAGATCTAGATATACTGTATCGTTGTCGCCTTCTCCAGGCAATAGAAGGTAACAGCTGCTGTAAATTGACATCGTTGACATCTCATGTTTGGTAACACTTGTAAATATAATATTAACTGATGAATACTTCTTGAGGTGTGAATTAGGCTGTGTGTGTGTGATTTAGGACCTTGGTCTGTCAGGTGCAAAGGTGCGGACCTAGCACAACATTACTAGAGAACTGCAAAACCTTGTAGACAGGAGGCCAGGATCAATGGATTAGTCAGCAAAGCCTGTGACTTATGCCCTGACTACAGATATTTTTGAAAATGGATACTTCCCTCTATGTTTTGGCCTCTTGTCCACACGAAAACCTACCTGGTCTCACTCCAAAGTGGTCGAAATCCTGCGCTTGGGCAGTGACTTGCGGCATCAGACACTGACGAAAAAGCCCTCCCTTCATTTTGGAACAGGCTGTGTGTAAACGGTAAATTTCCTGTGAAAATGGAAGTGTATTTTGAAAAGAGACAATGAACGTAACAGGCAGAATCTGACATGGCGTCCTAGATCATCAACAGCCAACACATCCAGGGTACCTTGCACGTCAGTGAGTGCAAATGTGTTGCACAAAGAGTTCTAGGTCACTAAAATGGAATTTTTAAAACTCCTTCTAAGATGCAGGTTTTTCAAAACTGTGGTTATTTTGTATCTGTGCAGACATGTAAAACTGAGCATTTGGGAAATGATAATATCATCTCTTCAATTTGTGCATGCCCATTGTTGCTTTGTGAAATGAGCATGCACCAGAAACAATAACAATGGCAGACTACCGGATAGTTTACATTTTGTTAGCACTTTTTGGTCCAGTGAGAACTTTATACTTAAACTTTAAAGTTTGGTCCAAGTAAGTTTCGGTTATGGATGAGATCTTGTCTTCTGTTCTGTGTCTGCTGGACCATAACATTTGAAGCAGTATGCTCAGCTCATATGAACCATCTTTTCATGCTGGGATGAGTCTCTGCAAAATGAATAATCTTGAGGAATTTAAGAGTACAAACTATCCTACTTTGCACTGGTTGGCGGACTACCCTAATCTGTTAAACATGGAGAAAGTGTGGCCTAGGCGACTACTGGGTCAACGTCATTAAAACCCAGCATGTAACAGCTTACCCAAAGCAAAAAGGTTGATGTCACAGAGCCGCGCTTTGTTTCTCCAGATAGAACGTGAGTCCTCACAATGTCAATGTGTGAACAGATGTTTGTCCCCACAACATATTTAGCAGTTAAAGAAGCCATCTAAATAGATAACAGCTGATGGATGTATCACTCAATGCCTGCAGGTGGTGCTAGTGTAAAAAACACCAGAAGCATCTGGGGATCTGCATGTGAAAATGTGCAGTTTCCGATTTTCACTTTAACTAACCTTTGTGTCCTTGTTCTTGAAACGGACGTAAACACAGTTTCTTGAGTAACAGGCTTGGCTGACACTCTGCAGGTTCATCAATCTGACCCGGTCTCCCTGCAAATGGTTTGTCCCAGAAGCCCTTGACTCAAATTGCCGATTCTTGGTAATTGCATCTGTCCTCTTCTCATTTTCTAATCTCTGCAGCTACACAGAGAGGAAATGGCCATTGTTTTAATTGCCCTCAATGTCGTCACCTGTGCGTGATACCAAAACAAGTCCTTTACTTGTACAACTAAGGGAAGCAAGTGTGGTCAGGTCAAGGCTAAACATCTCCTGACGACTACAATTAAAAACACATCGCTTAATGTTTAAGTCCATTGATTCTTGAGTTGAAACAAAGCCTGATGAAAGTGTTGCTGCTTGTTGAAAATAAATACAGTTTCAACGTTAAACATAGATGTGATCTGTGGAGTTGCGTATCCAGGCATTGGCTCCCTTTTATCCAGCATTAAAATGCTCTCCGATTTTATCTGATTACATTTACACATGGTATTATATGTCTCTCCAGTGTCCACATTAGATCTTAAGCGTGGTTGACAAGGCAGAAACAGGTCTACCTGATGGCAAGACAGTGATTTACGAGAAGAACACACTATAGATGAAGAAGACACCCCAGTAATGTTAGCAAATGATGAGAGAAAGACCACTATGTGCTCTGCAGCGTCAGGTAAGAGAGAGAGAGAGAGAGAGAGAGAGAGACGCTTCTGCCTTGCTGGTTTGGAACAGTCGCGTGCATTTACATATTTCCACCCACATAGTTGTTATATTTGGATTGAAAACACAGTTGCATTTACACTTGTGTTCAGTGTGCCCACCTCCGCAGGGGGTTTGGCCGATCAAGTTTTGGGTGCATTTACACCTGTACTTTCCTGTGGTCG